TAAAGTGTGTTCAGTGACCTTGAACTAAGTTTCTAAGTTATATGTCAAAACAGGCCTATGTGTTAAATAAAAAGAAAAGAATTCAATATCAAAGGGGATCTTTTTATATTCATACTAAATCAAATCAACTCCACACTAAAATGATTTTATTACATTGCTTTAATTTGTAACATATCATCCTAATATCTCTATTCTTTAAAAAATCATTTGCATAAATCTGATTTTTTTCATAAAATAAGAAGTATGCCGCATTAAATAAATATTCATAAAGTTTTCTTTTTTACTTTTACTTATTTATCCTCCTCTCCCTAAATGCAAAAGCAATTCTTGTCTCTTAAACTGAAAAGAAACTTTTCTGAGTTCATCTTTGTTCTCTCAAACACAGATCTTTCTAATAAGTCCATTTCATAGTAATGGCCTTTTCCTTAGTAAAAGCAGGACTCTTTGAAAAATTAACAATCTCAACGATATTTTTTCAGTATTAAAGGTACTTCATTTCTAGACATTTCGTTTTATGTTGTTTTCAAAAATAAAAAGGCACGAGAATATTGATCAGCTCAAAATCTGCCTCCTACAAATTTTATTCTTGGCTGAATTAAAAAATAGACGAGAATTATAATTGATGTGCATATAAAGAATGTTTTTCAATCAAAGAATGTTTTTCAATCAAAGGTAAGTCTGCATCTCTTCTTTTCTCGAAAATGATTCACTTGATCACAAAACACGAGGAAGAATTAACATTCTACGGCAATCATGAAGCTTTGAAGAACTATTTTTATGCAGATCTTGCCTCAGAATGCTAAATATGCTTATAGTTAGAAATTGTTAAATTTATTGCTTTCAATCGGTATCAAAATGCGTAATTTTGATGTTAGGTGGGTTACAAATAATATATGAATTGCTCAGGAAATACTTTTACGAACCGTTAGTTTTTACAGACAAATAGCATACAAATTATTTGTTAATTCAAATATATCTCGAACTCGATGGGACCAAGAAAAAAATCGAGATATAGGAGGATTCGAGATATCTAGGGTAAAATACTTAAAGAAAAAGGGGTTGGGGCTTCCAAATCACTTCGCCATATCCATGGTATTCGAGATATCAGTGTTTGAGATAACGAAATTCAACTGTATATTTTTTAAGATTTGCTTTTTTTCGGTATCAAAGAAATAAACATTGTACAATCATATAATGTAAAAAGGTAAAGATAAAGAACAGTGATCAATATTTAAAATTCAGTAAACAAAACGAATAGTAAACAGAGCAAAAACACGGATCTCTGGAAACATCAGAGGTTGGTTCACCTGCCTAGGAGGAGTAGTCCCAGTTTAAAAATTGATTGTACTCAGAGTATGGGTCCGTGTATTGAGTCAGGAGGGAGACATAAACATCATTATCATATGCAGGTGTTGGATTGATTGATTGATTGTTTATTGTTTTACGTCGTATTCGAGAATTTTTCACTAATATAGAGACGTCACCATATACCGGTTAAGGGCTTCAAATTTAAACCTTTACTAGGCAACGAGGGCCATGCATTGAGCAGTGAGGGATCTTTATTGTGTCCACGCCTGCCATGACACGGGGCCTCGGTTTTTAAGATCTCATCCGAAGGATCCGCAACTTTCACTTCATAGTGCCGAACGCTCGGCGAAGGAACAGTTGCTACCTATTTTTATTGATTAGGTCAGTAGCGTCTGGGATACGAACTCACGACCTTCCGATCCTTGAGTGAGCGTTTTACCGACTGAGCTACCGTGACGATCAGGTGATGTTGGAATATTACTACATGAACAAGCAAAGTTGACGATGGAAATGCTGAAGTCATTCAATATACAATTTTATTATGATTGGTCATTATCGTCCATAGTCAGGAAAATATTTAGATATAAAAAAAGTGGCAGACTCTGTAGTGTCTCTTATTTTGAATTCGGTGGGATAGATGGAGTCGATATGAAGGTACTATTGTTGATTGATAAAACATCGTAGATATATCTAAATGTTAAGTTGAGGACCACAAAAAGTTTTTTCCATGTAAGAGGTTCTGAATAAACTCTACTTCAAAGGAATATAAAAAGAGGTTGGCTAAAAAGGAGCACAATTAGTGTCCATAAAAATTCCAATTAATTGTATGCCCTCTTCTCCAAAGACAACATAGATATTGTCAATGAAGCACTCCAGCATCTAACTAAATATTTATGTCGATGACCTGTATTCTCAGATTTAAAATTATGGTCATGAGCAGACGACCGGGAACCAGTGGTTAGTGCTTTAAAGAGGAAATAATGTCTTTGTGAATTTTACTGTTCCACAGTCACAAAAATGTAATTTCGATATATTTTCTTTCTTTGTTAAAATTATTAGACATCAGATTATGAACTTTCGATTCACAATGTGTTGGGATATCAGAATTTGTAATTAGAATTTACAAGGTTGTATTTAAACATCTATTTAATTTTTTCATGACAGAAGACGCCAATAATTAAAAAGAAATGAACATATCATTTCAATATGACGAAGTACCTGTTGAAAAAGATTTTCATAAACGACTATGAATGATTCATTCACAGGGCAAATATATAGTTGCAGCTTTTTCTCTTTTGTTCTTGAAGATACCTTGCAGCCTCCGGTGAGAACGGATCGCTGTTGTTGATGTGGAGATTTAATTTAATTTATTTGTTATAGAGAGAGCATAGTTGGATTTTCTTGAACAACCACTGAACATTGTATCACTGGTGAAGTGCAAAAAGCCATATGCATGAAAACAAGGAAAATAAACAAAATAAATAAAACAAGCAGACCTGTCGATAAAGGCTATAGGAATTGAAATAATAATTATATGTGTATTTCAGTTCAAAAGACATTAATCAAAATTCTCCAGTCGTCTATGAAACATGTTTCACATTTAACTTCATTCTTAAAATTTAGGGATGGGGAATCAAGAAAATTTAATTTTACTAATACTGCCTTTCATTCTGTAATGTAAATCAGTCGTGGGTCTTAGCCTTTATACCTGTACATGGATTTCTTTAGGAATGTTAATAAATACATCACTGTCAATGATCTGTAGATCAAATTTTCCTCGAAAACCAAACCTGTAATCACTCATCTGACCATTCTCCCAACGCACCTCGTTGAAGAACAAAGATATGAGAAGTTATTTTTAAAAATGATTTATTCATTGCTACATGAAACGGATTGAACAGCATGCATGATTGCTTATAATTGTTCTCTCCATATTAAAATGAGTTGTTAAACAGAAAACATAGTGAAATTTATATTTCAACAGGTTAACAAAATTCAAATAGATCTAACTAAAGCTTAACGCACGTGAGCAACGTCATTGCCTATAACTCTATAAACTGATCCAATACTTCCATCTCCGCCATCTTGGACTCCCCGTTCCCAATCCGGAAAGATATATTTCTGTAATTTCCTTGATTCCATCAATTTATTAAACTTTGCATGATGTCACAGCCTTTTCAGTGTTCTTTATTACAAGTACCTCTTGTGACTAAGCAACCTGTGGCAATCATTTCGTTTTCCAGAATTGTAGGTCTTCACAAACAGTGACGTCATATTCATCCTTTTCAGTACTATTACTATCGTATATGTAGCCAAATTTTAAACCTGTGTCCCATTCTACGTTTAACCATCCAGCTATTGAAAACAAAAAAGAAAACTTAAAATATAAGTCATCAAGTTATTTTCAGTATATTTTCAAACAAACACAAAGTCAGAAAAAAATCTATACAGTCTAATAAGTAATATATATCTTTAATGTATATATGTGATGTATGTGGATGTAACAGAGAATAAAATAAAACTCTTTATATATCCCCTATAACCGGGGTTTACAAGGGCATACGTCATTAGTTTGTAAGTATTGTTTTATGTGTCTTCAACGGTAGAGGTTTTATAATACGTTAAAACCGTATCCGGTTTAAAACAAATATTTTAGGTTCTTTTACCGTCTTTTTGATGTCCTGTAACTGTACCAGGACCAAAACTATCCTGATTATTCCACTTCCAGTCCCTACCACGCTTGACTCTGGATCCTAAAGGAGGCATTCGTGGGTCTCTTTCCCCAAACGCTTCATCGGAAATCTCTGTTCTAATATATTCCCATGAACTGTATGGAAACTAAAATGTCAACAATTATATTTGAAAATAAAGCAAAAAAAAAAAAAAAATAAATAAATAAATTAAAAAAAAAATAAAAAAAAATAAAATAAAATAAAATAAAATAAATAAAAAATAAATAAATAAATAAAAAATAAACACCACAAAACAAATACATATAGTAGGTGATAATCAATACGGCAATAAAGAGAGAACTTCTATGTTTCTCTTCACTTTGTTCGTTACAGGTCTTTGAAGTATTCTACCTGGTCCATTTCTGTGAACTCTTTCCAAGGCAATTCACAAGCCATCAATGTTAGAACCATTTCGCGGTCAGAACCATCATTCTTCATCGTGAATGGCAACATAGCTGCACTTGTCTAATTTTGTGTAAAAATTTTCAGAAACAATTCATAAACGAAGAATTTAGAAATATATAAATTTTACAACACAAAAAATGTTAAATGTATAAAATACTAAAATAAACTGCAAGTTTAAAACAGGAACAGCATATTAAGTGTTGTTTTTAGTAATATATACTCAATATAAAAAAAAAACAACACTTCAAGTGAACAGAAAATTCTTGAGCTTGGTACCAAGTTTTCAGTGTACTTTGCAAATTGTATTATTTCCCGAGGGCAAACGATCTTTTCTCCTCTTGATTCAACACTAAGGTATTCTAATAGTGTCTGTAAATAAGAGAAAAAAGATACTTCGTGTAGTAATCATTTTCCCCCAAAAGATGTTCAATGTGATGGCGAATTGGTGAGAAAAAAAAGAGAAGAGCAAATAGGACAACAGCTATATCTCCTCTAGGAATCAACATTTTAATAAGGATGATTAAAAGGACTAGGCACAAATGGCATAAACTTTACCATCCATAATAGTACAAAATATATCTTTCATTTGTATGAATTCTTCCACCCCAATACTTGATGATGTATCCAATATAAAAACATTACATGGTCCTTTTCCATGTGGATAGCGAAGTTCACGATCTTGAAAAAAGTGAAGAAAAAAATCAAGAAAAATTTCTTTAGAAAGATCAAAGCACCTAGAAAAGATAATATATAAAAAAGAGATTGTCACAATCGGTATCTTATGTAAATGAAATATTTATACACACATGTACATAGCAAACTTTCATTTGTATATGACTGCACTTATACTCACTAGTTTGAGCCTCTATTCGTGGTTGTTCCTGTCAGAGTTCCTGCGCTCTTCTAAATGCAAGAGCTATCTACATCGCAGATCAAGAGAAACTGTCTGAATTTTATCATTATATTTATCATTAGTTATTTTCAAGTACAGCGACTTCTACTTATGTACGATGCAAAGTATCTGACATTTGTGCATTGCAATTACATCCTAATAATTCTATCTAGTTTGAATAACTAATATGGAGCTTCTGAATTTGTATATCTAGTCAATGTCAAATCAGGACGCGTAGCGCAGTGATTAGAGCGTCTGCTCTAGAGTCGCGGAGTAAGGAGTTGATCCTTACGTCGCGGGTTCGAATCCCACTGTGGGACGTGGAGACCGGTCCTTCGGATGAGACCGTATAAACCGAGGTCCAGTGTCGCAGTAGGTGCTGGCACGAAAAAGATCCCTCACTGCTCAAATGGCCGTAAGTGCCGAGTATAGGACAAGCTCTCCACCGGCAAGTGGTGGCGTCTCCATATGAGTGAAAAATTCTCGAGAGGGACGTTATATAATATACAAACAAACAAATCAGGACGAAACTATATATGTTTGATTTATATAACTGAATGCAATTAAAGAAGACCATATCAAATCATTCGTTTTCCAAAGACAAACAGTTAAAGTCATCCAGCTCAGACAATATTTGAATGTATTAGCTCAAAACAAATTGAAAATCATATAATGCCTCTGAATAATGCACGGCGGACGGGGTAATGGGGATAAAATTCTCATAAACTTAACAATTATCTAACTTACCCTATTAAAAGAAAGTTCAAACAATATTCACTCGACATGTCCCTTCATGATTTTAAGTTTCCTGTTTTAGCTAATTTTAGTTAAATTTTGAGGCGGGAATTTATAATTTTAGAAGAATATTTTCAACAAGAGACCCATTGGGCAGAACACTCACCTGACACTCACCTGACCGACAATTCTCTTCCTGTTAAATGAATACATGTGTTTGTACATCAGATGAACAGAAACCCTACTGTAGATAGCGTATAAAAGTCCATGTTTTCAAAAATGTGAATTTACATCATATTCAAGGTTAGTGAATGGAATTTTGTAAATAATTACGGTAATCTTGTCCTATTTAATTAATGTCAGTAGATGTCTGTTTAATTCCACAAAAAATCTCATTCATTGCTTGTAATCCACGATTAAAACAAATATGCATCTACACGACAAAGAGATTATCACCTTATTACCTTTGATCAAGAGAAATTAAGTTCCTGTCGTTCTGAGAAAGTTTTTGTTAATTTTTAAAATCATTCTCTGTTAAAGCTTTGATCCCATATTGCTATAACCCTAGAGACTATTCAAATAAATCGAAATTCACTTTACATGAAGATGCTCGCAAATTAATGACTAAAAATAGCTCTGCTTTTCTCGAAAAGAAAGTTTAAAGTTTTTTTTCGATATATTTAATGCCAAAGGTTCTTCTCTTGTGATCCGGGAGGGGGTTTAAAATGACACCAGCAAATTTTAGACTTGTCTTAAGTATTTCCTATTGGTAGAGGGTGTTTAACCCTTCATTTATCAAACTTAGATACCCTCAAAATACTGATTATTTGTTGCAAGTTTGCTTGAAATTGGACCAATAATTCTGAAGTAGACATTGAAAACGTAAAAAATTGACGAACGACAGACAAAACCCCTGACGGTATTTGTTGGGAAAACTTACTTAAGCTTTTGATTCAGATGACCTAAGAAGGCAAGTATACAGTTATGACACAATTATGAATTGATAAAGCGGTTTTAGATTCAGAATACATGTACAATTTGCAAAATAAGTTTAACGTTTGGTCAGAACTTGCACTCTCGTACTTTCGAATGTACGTAATTGATGAAATGCAGGCCGAAATATTCTTGGTAATCAAAAGACATATTACTACATTATTATCAAATTTGAATTTAAACCCTGAAATGTAATTGCTAATACAAGATTGCATAATTAGAAACAAATCTGAAAGCTAAAGATGCGCATCGTATCAAAATCGAAATTTCAAAACAAAATATTTTTGTACCGAATTCACACGAATAGATGAAAATCAAACAAATAGAAAAAAAAACTTGAGAGACGGATTGGGATAAATGAAAAAAAAATACAGCAACAAAAATACAGATATAGAAAAATATTCATTCATAATTATATTTCGAGGAACAAGAAGCGTATTAAACATTCAATAAAGACCAGCGGCGCGGGATAAGGAAACGCTATTAAGTGTGAAATGGCCACACTCTGTGGAATAAAAAAAATTCTGAATCCTTTTTTAGTGCTTCTTTACATGTCATACAGCGAGTCGCATTGAATCGTTTGGTGTACCATCAAGCAAGCCAGTGTGTCACATTTTTCAATTGTTTTTTTTAATTCAAAATTTTGTTTTGCTACCATGTGTCTTATCCATTTTATTTAGGGACACTCTGATAAATACGGAAGCCCATTGAGTCCAGTTCAGAGAGAGAAATATTTTTTATTGCGTTTAAACGTAATAATTATTGCGTTTAAACGCAAAAGATTGCGATTAATCGCAATAATTATTGCGTTTAAACGCAAAAGATTGCGATTAATCGCACTGTATATTGCGTTTAAACGCAAAACACTTTGCGTTTAAACGCAAAAGATTGCGATTAAACGCAATCTTTTGCGTTTAATCGCAATACTTTTGCGATTAAACGCAATACTTTTTGCGTTTAAACGCAATAATATTTTTGCGTTTAAACGCAATATTTTTTGCGTTTAAACGCAATATTTTTGCGATTAAACGCAATAGTATTGCGATTAAACGCAATAATTTTGCGATTAAACGCAATAATCTTTGCGTTTAAACGCAATAATCCTTCCTTATAAGGATTTGTTTTGCATTTAAACACAATGGTACTGTAGTTTTAAAATCAAACATGAATTAGTCAAAGCTTATAATTACATGTACTAGGACCCGACACTTCAACTTTAAGAAGATCCGATTTGTTCTGTGTCTTTTTGCAAAATTTTCCAGTTTTTGAAAATTGTAATAAAACAATGGCATCCTAACAACCTGAATGTCTTAAATGTATTAGAATCCAAAACTCTTAATGAAGTCTCTGATCAATTGCTTAAGTGTATCACAACTTATAGAGAAAGTTTCAGTGGTATTAATAGCACTTGTCAATTTGATACATGTAGTACACATCGATCAATCTGTTTTCATTTGATTTTGATCTCATATAAATCCATCACATATGTTCTTGTGTTTACTGTATGCAACCATAGGAAGGGTTATGAATGTACATTGAAGTCTAAATACTTCATCATGTTGTACGTAATTCTAACATTTCCTCAGTCCTTTCCAAAAATCCCTTTATACATGATTTAAACTTGTGACTGCAACGTATGGGACAGGTTTTGTTTAGCAGAACAACTGACCGAAACTTCATTAAAAATGTAGAGAATAAGCTTAAGACATGTCTCGTTCTTAGGATTCCTTTTTTTTACAACCCGACATTTTTTTTCTCCTCTATAAATTCTTATTAGTGATTTACCTTTCAGAGAGTGTTTGCTCGGAGAAATCTGATTCTATAAAGACAACACACAATTTCCTAATAAGGAGAAAGAGAAAGAAATAAAAGATATAAGTATGCGTGGGTCCATTGTACTCTGCAAGGTTTGATACAAATGACTGTCTTTAAACACAAAGATTATTGCCTTTGAACGCAAAGATTATTGCGTTTAAACGCAAAGATTATTGCGTTTAAACGCAAAAATTATTGCATTTAATCGCAAAAGTATTGCGTTTAATCGCAAAAGTATTGCGTTTAAACGCAAAAATTATTGCGTTTAAACGCAAAAATATCATTGCGATTAAACGCAAAAATTATTGCGTTTAATCGCAAAAGAATTGCGTTTAAACGCAAAAGATTTCGTTTAATCGCAATCTTTTGCGATTAAACGCAAAGTAAAATTGCTGTTACAAAAGACACTTCTTTCAAAATAGATGAAGATCCTAATCAGTTTAAAATTCTTATTAAACATATCAATTTAATCCTACTTATGTTCAATGCACTGGAAAAATACATTTAGTAAAATAATAAAAGAACAATTCTTTCAATAGTTTATACTTACGTCTGTTCATTTATTACAACAACCACTGTAGAGTGCGGATTTCTGTCATAACACTTGTTGATTCTGTCATTTATTTTTCTCGGATATGGCCTCCACTTACCGTTGTAATCCTGCCATAACCATTGTTTTTCAGCAGTATATATCTCCGATTCCTTTGGTCTATCAGCATCAATGTCTGAAGAAGAATCCTCAGAAACTCTGTCATTTTTAAAATACTGCCCTTTTGGCAATTTCAAACACGGAGATCCGAGCCCTCCCTTCTCGTGTTTAACGTTATCCTTCCCTCCAACACCAGCCTCATCAATAGCTTAATAAAATAAACATGAAACTTATTTCAGTGTTGATTTATAAGAACCTGAGCAAAATAATTACCTAGAGTTCGGCACTTTAGTAAAGCATATATATGTAAAACGTTAATCAAAGAAAAGAAAATACATGTAAACATTCCGTAGAAACCTTGTGTAAGCGATTCATCATAATTTTATTTTCACTTCCTATCTCTATATATGTATTTATGTATGTATGTGGTACCTTTTAAAAACCCGCTACGATGGGGTTCAGATGATGTCCTGGTAAAGGCTCTTATAGCCTCACAGTTCGCCTGCAAGAAGCTGATCACCTCAGGTGAGAAGGGATCACTATCAACAATGTCGAAATATTAAAGAACATTCTGTTTGTTATGGTGCA